TTCGTCAGTAGCTGTCGTTGGTTTGTGGCCACCCTGATACTTAGGGTTCTGAGTAGTCTTGTGGTCTTCTCTGATATATGTCTGATGTACGGTAGGGTGATTAGTGTGTCTGGCTGTGTAGTATCTTCTTATTGTGGCCTGTCACGGAGGTAACAGCAGATTGTGCTTTTTGGTATCCATTCCTTTTAAAAACTCCGTAGAAGTGCTTCTGTTCTGCTTTGCGCAATTCCAGGTTGCTGCAATGTGTTGTGGCCCATTTGAATAATTTCCTGACCAATTCTCACTAAAACCTTTCAAGAATTGAATGAAATAGTGAAGGAATATTATGACCCTAAGCCTCCTCTAATTCTGAGATGGTATCACTTTTTCTCAGCAACTCAAGAATCAAGGAATCCATATTGAGATTTTTGACAAGGTTAAGACTACTGTCAGAAGCCTGTAACTTTGGTTTAACCCTTAATGAGATGCTTAAAGACCATTTGGTATGTGGGATTAATGATGTAACTATGCAAAAACGCCTACTAGCTGAAGTCCAACTGGATTTCAAACCGACACTACGACTGACTTTATCATTGGAAAATACGACAAGTGGAACATATCAGTTGCAGGGTATTCTAATGGAAGCGGACACATTCACCAATCCAGGTAAGTTTGGGGAACACCGCTTGAGTGCAAGCAATCGCATGACCTCACTCAGGACTTATCCTGATCAGAGGGACTCTAGGCCAGCCCACAGCAAAACCCCAAACAAAGTCAAGCCTCGGCCACATAGTTAAAATTTTCTTTGGGATTATGGCCGGCAAACCGTTGTAGTGTTGCCAAGACAAGCAAGAAAGTCCTACTAGACCTAAATGGGAATAAGGTAACTCAGTAAGGCCAGTGTCCACAAGGCTATCCAGGAGAGTTCATACCCTGGAAAGTCCACCTGCATTTGGTTTCGAACCGTTAAACTGCTTAGCAACATCAAAATCAGAACCAATCAAAATAAATGGCTGGTTAAATGGTCATCCAGTTCTAATAGAGGTTGATGCTGGCACAGTCACATCAGTGGTCACAGAACTAGTTTTCAATAAAATTTGCTCTGAATAAAAACCCTTAAATTTGTCTAAGACCTCAGCTAGACTGAGAACCTATACCGGGGTACCTTTACAGATTAAGGCTACAACTTTGGTTCCGGTCCCTTATGAAAAGCAGCTGGTTCAATTACCAGTGATTATAGTAAAAGGCTCGGGCCCAAACTTGACGGGATGAAATTAGTTGCAAGTGATTCACCTGGATTGGCTCAACATTTTTCAATTAGAAAATGGCTTCCTGAGTGAGGTACTAATTAAATACGGGGAAGTCTTCCTGGAAGGTCTAGGGTCTATCAGAGGAGCCAAGGCCACATTACTGGTTGACCAGGAAGCAATTCCGCAATTATGCAAGGCATGCCCAGTTCCTTTTGCCTTGAGGGCAAAAGTAGAGGTGGAAGTCAGAAGCCTAGAAAGCAAAGGAACCATCAGACCAGTCCAATTTGCAGAATGGACAGCTCTGGTCATACTGATTTTAAACAAACGGTAAACTGCTTTTCGCAGCTGGATAAATACCCAATCCCTCGGATAGAGGATTCATACGCAAAGCTGGCAGGGGTTCGGTCCTTCACGAAGCTGGACGTGAGCCACGCTTACTTGCAATTGTGTTTTGACCGAGATTTTCAGAAGTTTGCTACAATTATACGATTAAGAGCTTGTACCAATATATGAGACTGCCATTTTGAGTATCGTCATCCTGTTCAATTTTTCAATGGATAATGGAGAACATTTTGTAAGGTCTACCTCAAGACGCCATTTACCTAGATGGCGTCCTAATAAAAGGGAAAGCTAATGAGAAGCACTTAGACTACAGTCCTAAGATGTTTTTCCAAGGCGGGCATATCCCTAAGAAAAGAAAAATATGTGTTCCAGGCCCCTGAAGTGACCTATTTGGGCTACAGAATTGACAAGATTGGGGTTACACCAATTAGAAGGTAAAGCAAGGACGATCAAATGTGCCCCGGCTCCCAAGTCTGTCCAGGAACTTAGGTCATTTCTTACCTGGTATGTTATTATGGAAATTTCATACATAATCTGGCATCTATCCTGGCACCTTTGCAGCAGCATCTAAAACAGGGTCAGCCTTGGAACGGGTCACTTAGACAACCCCTAGCTTTCAATGAAGCAAAGAAACAGCTATCATCCTCCAAGGTGTTGGCACACTATGATCCTGAGAAATATCTGGTATTGACATGCAATGCCTCCCATACAGCATCAGGGTAATATTAGTATCCAGGACTTTGACTAATGTAGAACGTAAATACACCCAGACAGAAAAAGAAAGATTGGTGATCATATTTGGAATCAAGAAATTCCACCAACAGTTTTATGGGCAAAAATTAGTGATAATCACAGACCATAAGCCCCTACTTGGTCTGCTTAAAGATGACAAGGCAGTGCCACCCATAGCTTCATCGATGGGGTCTAAAACTAAGTGCTTATAATTATAAGTTAGAACACCATCCAGGAAGTCAAGTAGCAAATGCAGTTGTATTGAGCCGCCTCCCATTAGCAGATGCACCACTGGTGGTACCCCCAATGGAGGAGTCTGTAATGATATTAAATTTTCTGGACATGCTTCCAGTCATAGCTGACAATATCAGACTTTGGACACAGAAAGATCATTTCAAAACTGAAACAACTGGTGTTGATGGGGGAAACCAAAGGGCCATCACAGCTAGAAATGAACTTTTTTGGACCTGGAGAAACCAGATCATGGTAGATAGTGGCATGTTGTTATGGGGAGCATGAGTGATTGTCCTGAGTAAAGGTTCGCTGCCAAATACTGGCTGAATTCCACCAGGCGTCTCCAAAATGAAGATGTTGCCAAGAATTTGTGGCTGGTGGCCAGACTTAGATGCAGGCACGTTGGTAGAGCAGTGTCCAGAGTATCAACAAGGAGAAAATTTACCACCAGCAGCTCCCCAACATCTGTGAGAATGGCCGGATAAACCTTGGACTTGGATACACATCGACTATGCAGGTCCTTTCATGAGCTCAATGTTCTTAGTCATTGTAGACACCTACTCAAAATGGTTAGATGTGCATACGGTCCATTCATCAAACACAGTGAAGTATTGGGCACAGATAATGAGCCATCATTTACCAGCAGGGAATTTCATTTTTATTAAATTTGAATGGGATTCGACATAAGGACAGCTCCGTACCACACATCATCCAGTGGCCCGGCAGAAAGAGCAGTCCAATCTTTGAAGGCTGACTTGAAGAAACAGCCTACATCCTGACTAGATAGCAAGCTGTCGTGGTTCTTATTTGATTATAGGACCGCCGCACATGCACCTACAAGGATAGTACCAGAAGAGTTGCTAATGGGTAGAAGACTCCACACCAGTTAAGTCTGATCTTCCCAGACCTGGGGGGGAGGGGGCAGGTGAGGGTAAAACAGCATCAGAAACGCCAATGTCGGACGCAAGACTCGGCCAACTGAGGGAGAAAGGTTGATACAGGGGACCAAGTTTGGTGTAAGTATCACAGAAATTGCCCTACATGGATAAGAGATATGATCAATGTGAGGTCAGGACCAGTGACATATAAAATTTGGGTAGGTGCGACGGCCTTGAACAAGAATGTAGACCATATGTAAGCTGCAAATTCACAGATGGTGTGGGAGCAAAACGTGCCCTGTCTCTTGGAGCAGTCAGAAATGCTCCCAGAGCCCATGGATTCGCCTTCTCTGTAAAGCATTGTCGAGTCCTCAGAATCTGAGATGGACATGACAGAAGTAGCCGTCTCAACACCTTTGTAACTGGAAGAAAAAAAGATGAAATTGTACTGAGGTGCTCCTGGCACAAGTGGCGAGTTCCTGTGTGTTACACACAGCCTGTATTGGATGCTGAGTTGGAGGAATCTGAAGCAGTAGTGCCCCTGGAAGCTGTCCGAGAGAAAGAACCAGCCTATGTCAGTAGAATTAGAGGTGGAGGAATGTAGTGATTGTAACAAGGTCAGCCAGCTGGACATCGTAAAATATGAGTTCCATGATTGGCGCAGTTAATCCAGTCCAATCAGGAAGCGCTGGCTGATGAAAAGGTAAGTGTCAGTATTTCTGGTACCTGACTCTGAGTGAGGCAGTTCTAATGTCATGGACTGTTCATGTGTATATAAAGGGTGACTTGGTGGTGGGATACCAGCCTCGGAGGAGTTATTTCATACACCAATCCCTCATTGATATTTTCTAATCAACCTATTCAGTGATTTAATTACATATTTCCAGAGCAGGTGAGGCTTGAATCCAGTTCTCTGGCTAAAGATAGGGACAGTGTGACTATACCACAAGAACCCTATCAATCGCTTTTAAACAAAATGTTCAGGTACTGGACTAATTAACACTAACTGAGCAAAGTTTGCTCGAATATCCATTGAACTGAGAAAATCTGTTGGTTGTCCAACCAAATGATGACAAAAACAACTTTGTTCAGCAAGGTTCTCTGTGAGACCAGAGTGCATCAGGATCTATTTTGTGAGACATTTGCCCTTTCAACTTCAATTATTTTTGACTACAACGAGTTGTGTGTCATCTAATAAACAATAAAATCATCTACACATTCTCTATGTAAGAGATAGGAATTAATGGGCAAGTAGTTTATTTTAATAAAAACTGAAAGAACTGCGGATGCTGTAAATCAGGAACAAAGACAAAGTTGCTGGAAAAGCTCAGCAGGTCTGGCAGCATCTGTGAAGGAAAAAACAGAATTAACATTTTGGGTCTGGTGACCCTTCCTCAGAACTGGAATAAACTCAGAACTAGTTTATTTTAATCTTTTTTTTTGACTCTGAAGAAGTCGATACAGCAACAAAGGAGTTGATCTGGAATGAGAGGTTGCTGATGATTTGCATAAAGTTACTAATTATCCAGTTTGTATATAGTTGGTCTTTGCATTGCCACAATTTCTCAATTCTCTGTCATTGCAGATAGATATGCTGCAGCAGCAGCGAAAGCTGCTAAATATGGAGGTAGGCTTTTCTACTGCTGTCCTTTATGTAAAAGTGTCAACTCAATATTCTATTTGTAAGCATTGAATATTCATTGAAAGAATGTATTGACAGGTGTAGAAGATTCTTAACTACATTTATCATTTAGTAAAGAATATTACTACTGGGAAGTCTCACTTAACTGTGTGCTAACAACACTCAAGTGATATTAAGAAGAAAAACCACTCTGTACTTTGGCTGAATTGAATGTGGCTTAGAGAAGTTGCGATTTCTTAAGAAGTTGAACAATATCTAAGGGTCTTGACCAGAATAAAAAATTAAGAAAATTTCTTGACATGGGGAAAAAAATGTTTCCAATTCCGAACTTGAATCAATTTTAAATTTTGCTGCTGCTGTGAATAAGTTCTTGATTAAAACCTATACAAGAAAACAATGGAATCAATAGAGCCTACAAGCAAGAATCAGAGTAAAGACATGAGGCAACAGAGGCAGTAACAGTCATAAATTGCTCAACATTCTCTCTTAAATTGCTCTGCTTCTCATCCTTTTTGCACTATGAAACCTTTTGTTATTTAATCTCACCTGACCTCCAGCCTATCACATAAAACTTTCCTTTCTGTTCTTCTTGCCCCCTTGCCCTTATCCAACTCAAAACCTTGCATAAAATATTTCTATCTTTTGTTCTGGTTAAAGCTTATGTCAATCTCCAGAGATATTGTATGACCGGAGTATTTCCAGCATTTTTTTGATTTTATTTCACATTTCCAGCGTCTGTGATATTTTTCTTTTGTAAAGCACAAACCATATCACCTTATGAGATGAAAAGATGCCAAACAGAATGTCTTCTGTTATCAAAACTGTGTTCTTCTGTTGGGGTTATTTGGCATCTAATGATTGTAACTTCCCTGTTCTACCATTCCAGGAGGCATACCAGGTCAAGTTCCAATGGGTGGACGTGGAACCATTCTAGGAGGTGGTGCAGGTAATTCAGTTTCTCAGAAGTAACATTTTTAGATTGATTGGAATAAGTTAAATAAGAAATGTTACTGTTTTCAATTTTTCAATGTGTTCTATTGGAATGCTTTGTTACTTCTGAGAAACTGAATTACCTGCACCACCTCCTGGAATGGTTCCACGTCCACCCATTGGAACTTGACTTGGTATGCCTCCTGGAATGGTAGAACAGGGAAGTTACAATCATTAGATTTATAATTGTAGTTTCTCACTTTTTATTAATCAATCAATAGACTTGTTGGGTAAAAGCTACTCTCCTCATTCTGTCCCTTAACATTTCTATGGCTCACTGTATGCCCAGAGTGCAAAGGAATAGTGATGTCATGGGGGCACTTGTCATAATTGGCTCCAGAACCAAGATGGTATCAATATTAGCAGCCATTATAGTCATCTGAGCTGCTGTGTGGAAGCTGTAATAAGACGCCCGCTTTGTGATGGACAGCACGGTCATATTTATGGTTAAAATTGGAAAATATTATCTCCGTGCTCTAGATGTAGCATTAATAGATGCAGCATTATGAGCTAGCGTGTTGTCAACATTTTACCCAATCAGCCTTCTTTCTTCAGCTTTGCCCTCAAAGGCAAGCTTTAAGTATGGCATAAATAGGTGGCGTGTAATTTCCCGCTCTGGTAATTTGTTACCGTAATGTCTTATCCAGCTGCTTGAGCAATGGTAAGATTGAATGAAAGCTGAAGAAAGAAGGCTGATTGGGTAAAATGTTGACAACACGCTTGCTCATAATGCTGCATCTATTAATGCTACATCTAGAGCACTGAGACAATATTTTCCAATTTTAATCATAAATATGACCGTGCTGTCCATCACGAAGCAGGCGTCTTATGGCAATGGTATGATTCTTTTAGACTTGTGTGGCTCTGACCACCATTTGTAGTTAATCTCTTAATAACTATACTAACAAAATAGGTTGTCCTATTTTTAAACAATCAATAAGAATCCCTCTGTCTTTGGGAAAGTGGATGTTTTGTGCTAACTGATTGTTCTGGTGATATTTTAAATATATGAGCATATTTTTTGGAATCTCCCATGATACCATATGATGAAGAACAGGGAAACGTCCTTATTCAACCAGCAGGACCAAAGTAAGAAACTGCTGATCCACCTTATGTTTCTGTGGATCTTTCTCATTGCAAATTGATTTCCCCCATTGATTCGATCACTTCAATTTATGATTTTTTTTGTGATCATCTTGAGAATGTGTGTAATGCAAGTCAATTTCTAAGGTTGTCATAAGAATGAAAGAAACAGGAGCAGGGTGAAAACCATACAGCCCCTCCAGCATGAAGCCTATTCAGTATCAATATGGCTGAGCTTTGGCTTCAACTCCATTTCCCCTTCTCCTTCCCATGTCCCTTCATCCCTGAGAAACCAAGAATGTATTTGTCTCATCCTTAAGCATATTCAACAGTGTTATTCTCTCCTCATTTAGATTGTAATGGGATCGGCATCATTGGAGTTAGTTTCAACCACCTGTCAACATTCTAAAGGAGCTCAAGGTTTCAACACCTATGAGTAACAAAGCTTCAAACTCTATACCCATGTGCATAGCTGATACTTCGTAATTATTCATGATTACTGAGGATTTGGTAGGAAGGTTTGCTGAAATATCCATTAAATTGGGGAGCCTTTGACCCTTAGCTTAGCAGGCTTTTCAGCGCTCCCAAATCAAACAGGATCTATTTTGTGAGACAGTTTTCCCTCTTGGTTCTGTTCTTTTTGAATGCAACTAACTGTAATGACATAAAATAGAACACAAAATATGAGACTTTTGTGTAATTAAGGTAAATTACATACGCTGTAAGGAAAAGGTAGTTATGGGCAAATAACCTTATTTTCTTCTTTGTTTCCTTCTGATTTTAAAGACCGCAATACTTAGGTTAATAGGTTTAATGTTTCCATCAAATAAGTGGACATGCAGGACAATCTTAAAATTCAGTCCAATAATCATCAACAGAAAAAAAAAATCACTGTTTCTTAACGCAATCTGCAAGCTGAGCAATTTGGGAAGCTTGAGTATTTAAGAAATAGAGTTTAATGAGACTTAAGTCTTTGTTCTTCTTAATGAGACTCGTTGTTCTATTCTGCATATTGCTGGTCTTGGCTCTATTTTAAATTGTTAATCTTCTGTTTTAGATGGATATGCAGCAGCTAAAGCTGCTAAATATGGAGGTATGTTTTTGAAGCTTTTAATTTGTGAAAGTATAAAATTATTTGATATTTCATGCTTACTAATTACACTAGAAAAACCATAGCACATATCAATTGTATTTTAGTTATACTTAATTGTACGCAGGTCATGAGAAGTAGCTGGGAAATCATCTGTGTTCCTTTAAAAAGATATGCTAATGAAGGCCATATGGTGATAGTACTTTATCTCTGTTAAATCCTGTTTAAAGTCCTATCTGTCCCACAGCTGTTTCATTACATGCCTGAACAAATTATTTTATCAAAGAAATAGCCTGAAGCCATGGGCTTGTGTGTGGAAGTTCAAATCTGATGTGTATCCTTGTAAATAAATACTTACATGCATATTCATGTAGGTGTAGTTTAGATGACATAAAAGCCACATAAGTACAGGCAATATGTTATGGAGGGGTGTGTGTAGAACCACCCCAAGTGATCGCAGATGCAGAAGGAAAACCAAGAAAACTAGAATCTGTAACAGTCTTCAGCCAGGAGAGCTGAGTGAATGGTGTGCAAGGTTAGCAAAAGTTATGGATTGACCCTCCTGACTTGAAATAAATATTGGAAAAAGAGTAAAACTCATAAATTAAATGGGTGGATGCAAGTCAGCAATTGTTGTACAGTTTTACAAAAAGAAATGAACCTCTAATGGGTCCTAGAAGACCCATTCACAATATAGTGTGTTGTATAAAATATGCAAATCTTTAATTTAATTTGCTTTGAAATTATGATTACTACATATGAAATCTATTCTTTCTCATTTAAAAAGAGAAAAAATGAAATCTGTTCCTTGTATTAATTGTGCTTCATGGAATTCAAGAGGTGGACATAGTAGGGGATTCACATTTATCCCTCTACAAATAGACACGGATAGAAACTGTTGGTCTTTAATTCATTCTTGGGTGTGACCACCTCTGAAAAGGTAGTGGTGATCCAGCATCTTGAACCACAACGCCCCATATGCTGCTAAGGGTGGGGTTGAGAATTTTGATGGAGGAACAGTGAAGGAACCATGATATGGATTGAAGTCATGTAGGTGTGGAACTTGGAGTGGAATTTGCGGGGAGTGGTGTACTGGGGTTACCAGGTGATGCTCTTGTCCCTCAGGCTGGAAGATGCTGTTGAACAAGCTGCCATTGTATACCAGTGGCGGGGGTGTAAAATGTTTATGGTAGAGTTGGGATGTTAGATGAGTGCTATTGGAGTTGTACTCAGCAAGACAAGTGGAAAATATTTCAAAGAGTGTTCCAACAAACTTATAATTGAAGCCTTATAGGTGGTGACCAAGTTTCAGAAAGTCAGGAAGTGAGTTCGTCATGACATGATCATAGCTTCTGACCTTGGAGCCACAGTATGTGTGTGGCTAGTCAGGTTATGTTTCTGGCCAAACATAGTCCCCAAGATATTGACAGTGGGGAATGATATTTCCTTTAAATTTTCCAAGGGGAGATGGTTGGATCCTGTCTTGTGGAAGATGGCTATTGCCTGGCAGAAATGTTGTTTGCCACTTATCAGCCCAAGGCTGAATGCTGTACAGGTCTCATTTGATATGCACTGGACTGGTTCAATATCTGACGTTTGATTAATGGTACTTAAAAATATCCTGTCATTAGTGAATATTTCACTTTTGACCTCTAGTGAAGAGTAGCTCATTGATGAAAAAGCTATAACTGAATGGCCAGGACACCACTTTTCAAGAATTCCTGCAGCGTTATTTGGAGACTGAGAACAATTGCAGCCATTTTACTTTGATTATGATTCCAACTGATGGATATATTTTCTCCCGTCTCTGATCAACTTAAATTTTGTTGGGAATCTGTGATGTCATTCTTGGGATTTTGCTGAAGTGTATTTGTAATGTGTATCTCTAAAGCACGTGAAGATTGGCTCCACCCCCTGGCTTTCTAGATTATAACATGTCAAATATATAATCCACTTTACTTAATGAAGCATTTTAAATGTTAAGAATTCTTACCATTTTACAAAATGAATTATTACTAGCTCTTCTCATTTAATGTTTGGTTAACTACATTGAAGGTTTTATGAATAAATACCTTTCTGCAACTTGGATAAACTCAGTTTAGTTTTGTGAAGCTTGCTGCCTATTCTTGAAGTTGCAGTTCCATAAAATGAAGTATGTTCATTCTCTGTGTACTGGTCCAGAACTTCATAATTCTGTCAGGTATTTATTACAGGGACTTTTCCCCAGGGAACAAAGTGGGGGGAGAAAAAGTGAAAATTCCCTAGCAGCAAGACGGTGAAATTTCAATCTTGGGATAGACCAATAAAGAATGCTCATTGGTTTGTTTAAAAGACCTTTATTAGAAACATAAAAGGATCAAATCAATAAAATATAATAGCAAAAAACAAGAGGCAAGATAATTGACATAAAAGCAGCTCAGTAATCTTGCTTTTTACGTTCTTCTGCCTGTAATGAATTCTTTCATAATTTGTAATTTGTAATGTCTTTATTTTCTAGTTGTATTTTAAGTTCCACTAGATTTTTCAGTTTTTCTGTCCTTTTTCTACTTTTTGATTTTTGTTTATCATTTCGACAGTAATTACATAAACTAACAAACCTAGCTACCTAAAAGTTACCAGAATTAAACATTAGATCATATTCCAAGACTTGTGAAATGGGTTTCTCAAATATCACCTTATTTTTAGCACATTTATTTCTGATTCTTCTTCCATAGTAGCCATCACAAATGCTAGTGTTTAGGAAACATGTCAAGTTATGTGCCTTAAGAGTAATGTAAACATGATTTTCTCCCAAAAAACTGATGCTTCACCAATTCAAAATTTTCAGATTGAGATTGATAGTCATTGTTAGGAAAAGACATCAAACAACAGTGATCAATGCTAATAAATGTTATTAACAGATTCAAGCCCCATGGTGGCCTCAGAGTTCTCCCTAATTTTTCATTTGAAATAATACAGGCTGGCTATAATCTCTGGGCTGACCTCAAATTGTTCTTCTTGCCTAATTTCTAGACCTTGGTATTCAAAGGATTAGTTATCTCTGGGTGTTTACTTCAGAATCAAGACCATTGGGTATTTATTCTGAGGATAATACTTCCTCCTGACTGCCCTTTGAATGGTCTTGGACTCTTTTATGATATCTCCTGTTGAAAAGGTAATTAAACCAATTGAATGGTGAATTTTGAGATACTTGTGCCATATTCATAAGTTTAGCAAGAATCTAATGAGTGAATCATCTGAAATAGTGCAAAGTACTGATTCGGTTTTTCAACAGGGCAATATCTTCACAGACCTTATTCCTTGTACTGACATATTTGCTGTTAGGATTGTTGGATCTATTCTGTGGTTGTAATGAAGACTTCTGGATCCAAGTGCAGTATGGGATGGACTTTATCTTTGAATTCTGCTGTCCTTGATAGCACCCCTGGAAAACTAAGTGAAAACAAAGAATCAAAGAAAAGTAGAATATCATTCTCATGCGTTAGTATTGTCGAGAGACTTCCTACACCTCCAAGATTTGTTGTACTCTATGATGCTATGCAATTTATGAGAATCCATCAAGCTTAATCTGGCTGTTGATGGTTGTAAGACCATTGTGACCATCTTGTATAATTTAAAATATTGATACTTGCATCACATCATCGATAACCATATGTAATGATTCTTTTGCACTATTTGTTACATGCACTGGCATTGAAACAGTTTTAGATAAAGAGTTCTACTCCCCTGGTCTGAAAGAAAATTGGAGAGTTCTTCGTCTACTGCATCAGTGATTGGAGGGTCAGGAAGCAAAAGATTTTCTACTTGAAATGCTGAATCTGGTCTTGATAGTAGAATGTTCTTTGGTTTATCCCTGTGGCATTTCTTCTTTCTCGGAGCTTCCGAAGAGATTGGATGGATCATCTTCAAGAATGCCAAGATGAGAAGAATCATGAAGGTAATCGAACTTTGAAAAAACTGAGGCATGCCTTGACAGAAGATCATCCATTCTTCTTTGGATGAAGCTTCAGTTGTTTGAAAAAGTTGTGGTAGATCTTGACAAAATGTCATCAAGACTTATTGACACAAAAGCTCACATTCTTGGAGGCATTGAGGAAATTCCTCACAAAGTAAAACGTAGCTGTCATCTTTGCACAGAATGTCAAGTACCACCTGCAGAGGACCTGGATATTCTATAAGGCTGCCAACTGAACAAAGGATCTTTGGTCCTGCAAGATGCAAGTAGGTTAATTAAAAACGCTAATATTGTAAGTAAATATTGCTACAAAATATCCTTTATCTGAAAGCATGTTGCCTCCAGGACCCTGGATCCTGATGCCTAATGGAAGGAGGCATACATTGCTGAGCCACTCTAAAGTATCAATCACTACGGTAATGGCTGTTCCTGAGTCAAGATTAAATTTAGTTTTGAAATTCTTGACTTGAAATTAATGCACCAAAGATGCTGATCATTGACTTATTCTGTAAGATCAGTGCTTTCCATTTGATCAAAAACTGTAATTTCTATGTTTTCTTCTTGTTCAATTTGTTGATCATGCTTTGAGGAAGTGGTCTTGAATTACAGAATCATTAAAATTGACCAGTCCTGCTGCAGTGAAAACATTTGGGATCACCTGCTAGACAGTTATGTTGTTTCTATTGCCATCTTGCACCATAGTGCCAGCACTTCAAAATGGCACTTTCCACACTTTGTCTAACCTCGGACTAAGCATCAAAGTTGCTTCAATTCACATCCTAGTTCACTAGCATGAACCATTCACTAGGCCTGCTTAGTATATTGCATTGCCATATCTAATGTTAATTCTTTTTTAGCCTGCACAAAATCAAACAGCTCAACATTAAGGACCCACTCAGATAATAAATAAAATAAGTCTTTCAGTGTACCACAACTGCAGGAACTGACCAATCTATAACAAATAGTTAACAGACAAGGCTGCTGTTTCCCAAGGGTTGACCTGGACACGTTCAGTAATGAGATTCTTCTCGGGTTGAAATAAGTATCAAATGCTGTTAGGATCGACTGAAAATTTGCTGAGAATTTTTCAATACCTTGTCTGAGAATTGGGGTTACTGTGTATAAGGAGACATTGACGTGAAGTTGTTGCTGCTTTGAATTGAAAACTTAGGCTGTTCTGTGCCTGTGGAAATGCAGCTCCCGCTGTTCTCATCTACATATTTGCATTGGTCCTTTGATAGCTTCGAAGGACAGTTGAATGGGCAGGAACTATTAAAGTTAAGTAGACCTGGCTGCCACATTAAAATTTAGAGATAGTAGGAACTGCAGATGCTGAAGAATCTGAGATATACAAGGTGTAGAGCTGGATGAACGCAGCAGGCCAAGCAGCGTCAGAGGAGCAGGAAGGCTGACGTTTCGGGCCTAGACCCTCCTTCAGAAAAAAAA